AGTAATAAAATATATAAAATATTTAATTTTCTATTAAGATAAGAACTGTTTATATAAACTATATTTTCTTGATACAAGTAATATTTAAAGATTATCTATAAGTCTATTGAGATCATATAACTTTTATTAAAAGTAATTCTGTCAATAAATAGAATAGGCTCTTTTTTATACCCTGAACCCAATGTTTCTATTGCAATCCAATTTGCCTCTATATGTGTGCCCGATTTCAAGTTTCATAAATTCTCAACAAGTGCCTAATTGATTTTTCTGCGTGTAGAACACGTCAAATAGATTTTTTGGCACAATGCGCAACTTTCACCTTTCGATTCATATTTCTTCATCAATTGAAATGTTTTCTTTTAGTTTTTTTAGCCTTATGGCCTGACAGGACTCTGAATCTTGACTGGCACCGGCATTGAGCTCCTTTGACAGCCAGAGCACAGGGCGTAATTAAAAGTCAGCACAGCCACGCCCTAGTTTTCGAATTTTGTCGAGAGAGAAAACGAAAATCACTTTCCCCCCTTTCGCTTCCTGGTCGCAATTTCCATTTCATAAGCCGTGGCACACTTTTCTCCAGCAGCTGTCTCGGCCTGGCGAAATTTCCTGTCAACCCTCGCAACTCTTTCGCTATTTGTGTTTGTAGTGTTTTTTTGCATCTTTAAGAAGCGCGTGTCGGGCACACGACACGCCCTCCTTTAGGGTTAAATGTTAACTAATATGCTCTTTATTATGCTGGAGAACAAAAATTTGTTGTTGTCGCGTGTCGCCGTTTGTCGTCTCGACTTCCTGTTTCAATATGCGATTTAACCGGCCAAAACTAATTCAGCTTTGTTCTAGCTGACCATAAATCAAACATACCATAACACAACTCTATTAGAGCTATATATATAGCTATATATATAGATATGTGTGTTTTGTATCTACTCTCATTATTCAAAGTTTTCTACAATAATCGTTATTTTGGTCTAATGAACATTTTGTGGTTAGCGCAACTCGATTTTGGTCTTTGATATTTCGGTATTTTCCATGCATCATTAGCCACTGGACTTTAAAGTCCAAGTTTTTCATTCATGAAACGGCTATTAGAGCTGAGAGATTAGAGCTTCAGCTGCATGTGAGTGAGGTTAACACAAATCAAATGAGATCAGAGCCAAACAGTAGCTGATGATGCCTTGACCATGGAATGTATTGTGAATGAGAAGCGCAAAAAGAGGTGAAAGAAATGTTAAGTTAATGGAGACGATCAAGCTATATGGAATATTTTAGGTATCAGAAGCGCAAAGAGGGGCGCTTCAAATGCTGGGTTGAAAAAGAATGAATGGAATCGTATACAAGAGCTATAGTGAACTTTGACTGTGTTAATGTATGAGAAGCGCAAAGAGAGGCGCCACAGATGTAGCAATGAACGAGAAAGAGAGAAAGAAAGAGAATGAATGAGAATAGAAACAATATAGAGAATTACCAAATAGAAATTTAAATACTAAATATAATCAGATAGTTGAAAGGTTAATCGAGAAGTAAAATACATAATCGATTAGAATGATTTCTATTCATAACATAAAAACGTAAAAAAATTATTTAAAATCTAAAATGTTTACGATTTTTTTTACGTTCTTCAACTAAATGTTCATAATGTATCAATTACCATTCGCATTTTTTGTTAAAGGCGAACAAAAATGACAGCATGAAATTTGACATCAAATACCAAAAGCCAAAGCAAAAATTCATTTCGATATATTTTGCATTATAATTACGGCTATTATTTAGAATGGGGTCATTAACATGTGACATTCGACTAAAAATACAAAATAAATTTGAGCCCAGCAAAACTTTGATCTATAATTAGAGATAAAATAGGTTAAAAACTTCACCAAAAACAAAACAAAACAAAGCCCAAGCGAAACCGAATCAAAATAAAACAAACAAAAATCAAGAGCAGCCTGATATGCCAAATGTGATAAGAGAACGAGGTAAAGTGTTTAAAATAAAGACTAAATATATAAATTAATTGGAGAATGTGTTGAGAGTCGAAGAGAGCGCAGATTTCGTTGAAGATATTCGCTTAAATCTGATTTAGAACAACAATAAATTTTTTCCAGCAGCCTAAT